CACCACCCCCACCACCGCCTCCCCCGCCGTCACCACCTCCGCCCTTGCCCCCTTGTCCCTTGCCGCTGCGGCGCCCGCTCGAAGCAGACGCAGTACCGACCTTCTCAGCACCAAGGAGGTCGACAGCAGCAGAAGAGGCGACCGAGGGAAGAAGGGGGGAAGGAGAACACCCCTCAAAGAACGGGGTACGGGGTTCGCCTCGAGAGGCACCTACAGCTACGATGCTAGCCTTAGCTGCAAGCAGTTCCTTCTCGAGGAGGGCAATGGTGAGCTCAGTGGGGCAGCGAGCTAGGAAGTGATCCCTGACAGCACGCAGAGTGTCAGGGAGGCGGGTGACTAGGTGGTAGAGAGTGAGCCAGAGTGGAGGGGGGGTGCGTGGCAAGGAACTCATCAGGCATGGCGGCACGGAAGCGGGCCTCACTAGTACGGAGGTGCGTGATGAGGTCACCGACTGTGTGGAACGAGACCAGGTCGGGAAACAGGTAGGGGAGGGAGAGACGGCCTAGCGCGGCAGAGGCAGGTGAGGAGTAGCGAGCAACGACAGCAGTGTACAGTGCCTGTGCAGTCTTGTGCTGGCCAAAGTGCTCGCGCTCGTCTATCGGCAGGGAGTTGCGAATAGCAAAGCGAGCGTGGGCATCACGAGTCTGCCACTGTGAGCGGGCAGTGCTGTCAGCAGTAGCAGCAGGGGCAGTGACATGGCCTAGGGCGTGGTCGTACAGTGAGATGTCGTCCTTGGCTGTGAGCTGTAGATAGAGGTGCAGGTCGTCTAGCCAGGTGTCAAACTTCACTGGGCGGCCCTCAGCATCGAAAACTAGCACCAGTGGGCTAGCCATAGGAGCAGTAGGAGTAGCAGTAGGAGTAGGAGGATGAAGCAGGTAGGGCGGCTCGGTTTAGGTAGGACGGCGCGGCTCGGGTGGGGCGGCGCGGTTCGGTTCGGGTCGCGCGGCTCGGCTCGGGTCGCGCGGCTCGGCTCGGGTCGCGCGGCTCGGTTCGGTCCTGGGCGGCTCGGTTCGGTCCTGGGCTGTGGCGGTCACGGCCCGTTCGGGGCCTCTAGGGGCGGTGAGCGCGGGGCCGTCGGGGCCGTTCGGGGCCTCTAGGGAGTTGAGCGCGGGGCCGTAAAGGGGTCTCTAGGGGCCGACGGGTCCGTTCGGGGCCTCTAGGGGCCGACGGGGCCGTTCGATGCCTCTAGGGAGGTGAGCGCGGGGCCGACGGGGCCGTAAGAGGCCTCTAGGGAGGTGAGCGCGGGGCCGACGGGGCCTTTCGAGGCCTCTAGGGAGGTGAGCGCGGGGCCGACGGGGCCGTTAGGGGCGATCGCGGGGCCGACAGGGGCCGCTAGGGGCGAGCGCGTGGGCCGTTCGGGGCCTCTAGGGGCGAGCGCGGGGCTGTAAAGGGGCGAGTGCGGGGCCGTAAGGGGCAAGCGCGTGGGCCGACGGGGCCTGAAGGGGCGCGTCGCGGGTCGCTAAGGGGCGGGTCGCGGGGCCTTAGAGGGCCGTGAAAACCGAGGCGCCCTAGGGCGCAGGTAGGTAGGTAGGTAGGTAGGTAGGTAGTGGTGGGCCCTAAAAAAAATCGGTCCTAGGAAGGACCTGCTCTATACCATGTTGAAATGATTGAACAGGGAGGAATGAACTAACAGTGAAAACAGTACAAGTACCTAACCCTAGAATTGTGTACCCCCTATAGGCTAACCCACTGTAGCCTAAACAAGCAGAACATATATAATGTTTGACATCCGCCGCCTCCGCCTCCTCCGCCGCCTCCGCCACCTCCGCTGCTGCCACCGCCGCCGCCACTCCCGCCACCACTCCCACCACCACCCCCACCCCCTCCACTGCCTCCACCACCACCTCCACCGCCCCCGTTAGCCCCTCCAGCTCCCTTGCCCCCCTTGCCCTTGCCGGTGCGGCGCCTCCCGCTAGGGGCAGACGCAGCACCGACCCCGTAGAAACCAACGAGGTCGGCAGTAGCAGCAGAAGCAACAGAGGGCAAGAGGGGGGAGGGGGAACACCCCTCAAAGACGGGGGTGGGAGGGTCACCACGAGAGGCTCCTACAGCTACTATGCTCTTCTCTGCTGCTAGGAGGCGTTCCTTGAGGAGGTCAACGGTGAGAGTGGTGGGGCAAACTGAGAGGAAGTGGTCCCTGACTAAGCGAAGAGAGTCAGGGAGCCGGGTGACTATGTAATAGAGGGTGATGTACATGGGGGGGGGGGTTCTTGGCGCAGAACTCAGCAGGGAGCGCAGCGCGGTAGCGAGTGTCACTAGTGCGGAGGTGCGTAATGAGGTCAGCGACTGTAGGGAAGGCAGCAAGGTAAGGGAAGAGGTACGGTAGCATGAGGCGGCTCAGTGCAGCAGTGGCAGGGGAAGAGTAGCGTGCAACTACAGCGTCGTACAAGGTCTGAGCACTCTTGTACTGGCTAAAGTGTGCACGCTCAGTGGTCGGTAAGTGGCGACGCACAGCAAGACGGGCAGCAGCATCGCGTGTCGCCCAGTATGAGTGAACAGTGCTGTCAGCAGTAGCAGGCGGGGCAGGGGAGGCACCAGAGGTGAGGTCGAACAGAGAGAGGCCGTGTGTCCTATCGCACTGGAGGAACAGCTGGAGGTCATCGACCTAGACCTCAAAGTCAACAGCACGACCCTCAGTGTCAAAGGTAAGAACACTGGGGGTAGCCATGACTGCAGAGGTCTAGGAAGGAGTGAGCTCACCAGTACGTGTAAGTAGGGCCGGGGCGCGCCGGTAGGACTGGTAGCGGTTCGACGGCAGGGCGGCTCGGCGGCTCAGCGGCTCGGCTGTTGGGCGGCTCGGCTGTCGGGCGGCTCGGCGGCTCGGCTGCTGGGCGGCTCGACGGTCGGGCGGCTCGGCGGTTCGGCTGCTGGGCGGCTCGACGGTCGGGCGGCTCGGCGGTTCGGCTGCTGGGAGGCTCGGCTGTCGGGCGGCTCGGCGGCTCGGCTGGCTCGGCTGCTCTGCTGCTGGGCGGCTCGGCGGCTCTGCTGCTGGGCTGCTCGGTAGAGGCGGCGTTGGGGTTGCTAGGGGCAGCGACGGGGTCGCTTAGGGAGGGGAGCGGCGACGGGGCCGTATAGTGGCGGCGACGGGGCCGCGTAGGAAGGGGGGGCGGCGACGGGGCCGCTAGGGGCGGCGACACGGCCGCGTAGAGGCGGCGTCGAGGCCGCTTAGGGGCGGCGACGGGGCCGCGTAGGGTGGGAGGCGGCGGCGGGGCCGCTGGGGGCGGCGACGGGGCCGCGTAGGGGCGGCGACGCGGCCGCGTAGGGTGAGAGGCGGCGACGGGGCCGATAGGGGCGGCGATGGGGCCGCTAGGGGCGGCGACGAGGCCGCGTAGGGGTGGCGACGGGGCCGCGTAGGGGTGGCGACTGGGCCGCGTAGGGTAAGAGGCGGCGACGGGGCCGCTAGGGGCGGCGACGGGCGGCGACGGGGCCGCGTAGGGGCGGCGACGGGGCCGCGTAGGGTGAGAGGCGGCGACGGGGCCGCTAGGGGCGGCAGCGGGGCCGCGTGGAGGGCGGCAACGGGGCCGCTAGGGGCCACTAGGTGCCTGGAAAGGGCGGCGAAAAAGGCGCGCCTTGGGCAGGAGCGACTGGCGCTCCGGTCAGAGAGGAAAATTTCAGTGGTGGGCCCAAAGAAGCGTTCCCACTAGGGAATCTGCTCTATACCATGTTAAGAATGAGGAATGAATGAACTAGCAAGCAGGTGAGTACAAGTAGGAAAACCTAGAAGTGTTGTACCCCATATTGTCTACCCCACTACAGCCTACACAGACTATAGCATATGAGTTTGACATTATGTTCCGTAGGAGTATCGTGTACGCCATCAGTGACTAATAAGTGTACTTCTGCTTGCCATATTGTGTCCCGTGTCTTGGGTATGGCAGGGACCCGTCGAAGAATCCAAGAATCTGTGCGCCCTCCATCATCAACTCGAACTCGCATGACCAGGTATAGAAGTCTTTGCTGTTGAAAGGCGTCGATGTTTGCAGTTTCAAACGTTTGCGAATTGTGACTGTATCTGAAGTGCGTCCAGTGTCTTCTCTTGTCCAGGTGGAGGCTAGTGTGGCATGAAGCTAATGGAGACGCGTTGAGGGTCGTACGGAGTAAAGGTAGGTTGCTGCTGGTTTCCACGCGCATAGGATGAGCCATCAAGACTCATGGGTGTGACATCGTCGTTGTTGTTGCTGTTGTCTGATTGCGCAAGGGCTGTTTGCTGTTGTTCGTAGAACGACATGAAGGAGAAAACTTCTCCATCATGCTTGGGTCGAAACCTGTTACCTCGTTTGCAGAAGTTTCAGTAGACTAGGCAGCTGGTCTTTCCGTCGTACCTCCCTCTGTGTGTAGGCCAGAGGCTGGAGGTGGAGTAGGAGTGGTGCCGGGAGATCCGTTAGAGGAGCTTCTCTCCTTCTGTGTTGCCATGCCTTCTGTTGTTGTAGGAGGCTTGAATGAAGTTGGATCTTGCCTTGTAGCTCTCATACCATGTTGGGCTCAGAAAAGCCCTTAGGATCTTTTCAAGGCTAAGACCCTGAGTAGAAATGTTATAATTGCAGAAGCGTTCTTAAAGCCAGCAGGCAAAATAGTGACCCCCCCCTTCTAGTTGGGTCCACTTGAAGATGAAGTATTTTTGTTTTGTTTTGGAATGTTGGAATTGCTGTATGTGTGCTTTTTTTTCCTACCCTCGGACGAGTTTCTTATTGGACCAGGAACGATAGTTCATTGTCAATTCTGATTGGCAGCCAGGTTCTCTCACATGTACATGTGCGAATTTGGCGCAAAGTTGAGCGACGAGCACTCCTGCATTCACTAGAGCCAGTACTTCACCAAATTCACAACTAGCAACATCTCACGCTAAATCCCAAGCAGACACACATGTACGTGATGAGAGTGAAAGTGTTTGAACGTTATTAGAGCTAGTAGAGCTCTGATCAATGTGCTGCCTTAGACTTGAGGCTTGGGAGAGGTGCAATAACGAGAAACAGAAGAGAAAAAAAGCACTAGGGGGGAAATTATGATGGGCAAGGTGACGCGAATGAAGAGAAAGAGGGAGGGCGACGGGAAACGGGAGGGCGACGGGAAGGGAGGGCGTAGGAAACGGGAGGGCGACGGAAGAAGGGGGGCGACGGGAAATGGGAGGGCGACGCGAAACGGGAGGGCGACGGGAAACGCGAGGGCGACGGGAAACGGGAGGGCGACGGGAAACGGGAGGGCGACGGAAAACGGGAGGGCGACGGGAAACGGGAGGGCGACGGGAAACGCGAGGGCGACAGGAAAAGGGAGGGCGACGGAAGAAGGGAGGGCGACGGGAAACGGGAGGGCGACGGGAAACCGGAGGGCGACGGGAAACGCGAGGGCGACGGGAAACGGGAGGGCGACGGGAAAAGGGAGGGCGACGGGAAACGGGAGAGGGGCGGGAAACGGGAGGGCGACGGGAAACGGGAGGGCGACGGGAGAGAGGATAGGCGGCGGGAGAGAGGGTGTCGAGAATAGATGGAAAGACAGAAAAAACAAACAAACCAAACACAATAACAGAGTACGGAATGGGTCACGCTGACGCGATAGCAGAGGGAGAACGAGAGAGGCGACAGAGAAAGGAGGGCATACGTGATGGGAGAGTCGAAGGTCGCCGGGAGGGCTATTCGAGGCGAGCGAGAAGGGAGGATGGGAAGGGAGCAGAAAGAGAGAGGGCAATGGGAAGGGAGCGGAGAGAGAGAGAGCGCGACGGGAAGGGAGCGGAGAGAGAGCGCGATTTGAAGGGAGGAGCGAGAGAGAGGGCGGAGCGGAGAGAGAGAACGCGATGGGAAGGGAGGGGAGAGAGAGAGGGCGACGGGAAGGGCGCGGAGAGAGAGAGCGCGACGGGTAGGAGGGGCGAGAGAGAGGGCGACGGGAAGGGAGCGGAGAGAGAGATCGCGACGGGAAGGGAGGGGCAAAAGAGAGGGCGATGGGAAGGGAGCGGAGAGAGAGAGCGCGACGGGAAGGGAGGGGCGAGAGAGAGGGCGACGGGAAGGGAACGGAGAGAGAGAGAGCGCGACGGGAAGGGAGGGGCGAGAGAGAGGGCGACGGGAAGGGAGCGGAGAGAGAGAGCGCGACGGGGCGAGCGACGGGAGAGCGATCGGTAGGGAGGGGCGAGAGAGAGGCCGACGGGAGGAGAGGAGGGGAGAGAGGGCGACGAAGAGGGCGACGGGACGGGCGACGAGATGGCGACGTGACGCGCGACGGAAAGGGAGACGGGTGGGCGATTTGGCGAACTCGAGGATAGCATAGTGGACGATGAGAGGGGTGAGAGGAATGGCGACGGGAATGGGGTTCTCTGTGATCGCGAGGAAAATATCACTACGCAGCAACGGCGACGAAGTATCACAAACAATCTAATGATAATTTCATTTCTATGCCGCATTAGCCTAATCCCTCGTCTCTGGCTATTCTATGCTAGGCAAGCTCCGTGAGTTAGGCAAGCTACGCGAATGGAGTTGAAGTAAGCATATGTGGAACCCAGGCCCAGCTTGAAAGTCGAAGTCGGGTCCAACCATCAAAACGCACGACAAACAACTGTCGTGCAAATGTCGCATGCAGAAAATGCGAACGCGCGAGCACGATCTGATTTTTTTTTTTGGCGGGAACGAATCACGTGTGTTCAGTCTGTGGAAGGGCGATGCCCGGAACAGTGTTTTACACAGCCCATCGTCGTTCCAGTTTTGCTTCTTCCGAGCACGATTTCAAGTTGGATCTGCCTTCACTATTTTATTTTTCGGTTTTAAAGCCCGAGTCTAGAATGGTAATGTTTCATAAATACTGAACTTGAAAGCTGGTTTGCGAAGGGTGGCGAGAACAAAATTCGCGGAACTAGGGTGGCGAAGGCTGACGAGTGCGGGATGCGACCCAGCGTACTGTTTTGCCACTTTCAGGTTCAAGAAACTTGAAAGCTCCACAAAGGACAAAAGTGCTGCATGGCAGGAATTTCGGAGGGATCGCCACCTCAAAATCGAATGTGTGTTGTGCGCATGATTGAAAAGGGTTCCATACTACAAAATGCTTTGCAGCATGTAAGACTGATGTGAAATACTTACCACACTGACGAAATAGCAACTCCGAAGTGAAAAGATAAGGATTTTTTATATATCATTATTTGTGTGGGTGATTGACAGACAGTCATGTTCATTGCAAAGATTTTCCACGATTCAATACTAATAAGTCATTGTAAAAACTCTCGCCTCGTCCATCTTGTGCCCATTGCCTATCTTCCGGTCCATAACGGCGAAATTTGCGTGGTGGTGCGGCACATGCACATCTTGTGAGGCGCAGGTCGGAGGTGCAATTTGAGAAGACCCTGGAGCGAGAAACAAGCCGGTGGGCGCGGGCATCAAGAAGGAAAGGTGGCGAGGATGAGAAGGGCAGAGATGGAAGAGAGGAGTGGGACAGAGAGAGATGCGAACATAGTAGAGGACTAGGAAGGGAAGGAAAGAGAGGACAAGGGTGGGAAGGAAAGAGGGAGGTTTCAGTGAGAGAGGGGAGGACATTCGAAGGGAGGGAAGGGGAGTGGAGTGGGAATAAGGGCAGAGCAGAGGGGAGGGGAAAGGCGAGTGAGGTGAGGAGGGATATTGAGGGAGGCCAGCAGGGGAATGTGGAGGGAAATGGGCATGTGGGAAGCAGAAGGGATGACAAGGGGATTGGGAGGGGAAGTGGGGAAGCAGCATGGAGGGAAGTGGGAGCAGTGTTTGGCCGACGGGAAGAGAAAGCGAGGGGAAGCGAGGGTGGAGGGGAGGACGATGGAAGGGGTCGCGACGGGGAGGGAGGGGGTATTAGGTTGATGGGCAGGGGAAACGAAGTCGGCGAGGGCATGGGGATCAGGGCATGACATGGGGGAAAGGAAGGGAGGGACAAGGGGAGAAACGGAGGGAAGGACATGGGGGAAAGCAGTGGAGGGACAAGGGGGGAAACGGAGGGAAGGACACGGGGGAAAGGGAGGGCCGGAAAGGGGGGGAAACGGAGGGAAAGGAGGGAGGGGAAAGTGGGGAGTGGGATGGAAGGACAAGGGGAAAGGGAGGGAGTAGAGGAGAATAGAGGTGATGGATAGGAGTAGGATAGAGGGGACGGGGGAGGGGTAAAAGGAGGAGAATAGAGGGAAGAGTGGGGCAGATTGAGGAGGGAAGGAGGGGGGGGAAAGGGAATGGGATATTCGAGGGGGAAGTGAGGCAGAGAGGGAAGGGAGCGAGCGGTGGTTGTGAGTGAGGGATAGGAAGGGGGAATTGCGCGAAGGGAAGGGGGGGAACTGCGCGAAGGGAAGGGGGGAAACTGCACGTAGGGAAGGGGGGGAATTGCGCGTAAGGAAGGGGGGGGGGGATCTGCACGTAGGGAAGGGGGGGAACTGCGCGTAGGGAAGGGGGGGATCTGCGCGTAGGAAAGGGGGGGATCTGCGCGTAGGGAAGGGGGGGATCTGCGCGTAGGGAAGGGGGGGATCTGCGCGTAGGGAAGCGCGGAAAGTGTGCGTTGAGGGGGGGGGGAGGGGGGGGGGGGGGGAGAGGGGAGGGGGGGGGGGGGAAATGCGCGTTTGGAAGGGCCGAAGCAGCACGGAGGGTAGAACAGTGTAGGGAACGGGAAGAGGTGAAGAGGGAAGGAACGCGAGCGGTGGAGAGCGACGCGAGGGACTTGAGGAGGAACGTGAGGGACGGGAGGAGGGACGGGAGCGACGGACGGCAAGAGAAGGGATGGGAGCGACTGAGGATAAACGGAGGCGACGGGAGGAAGGATGGGAGGGACGGAGGGACGAGAGCTTCACGAGGGACGGGATCGATGTGAGAGAGAAAGGTGACGGTAGGAACGAGAGCAAAGGGAGGGGAGGGAGCGACGAGGGCTACGGTTCTCGCTTATTTTTCTGCGCGTGCCGCATGCGACCGAAAGGATTGCGAGTGACTGAGGGACGGGACCGATGGAAGCGACAAGAGCTATGGGAGCGACGAGAGCGATGGGAGGGCTGGAAGGCAAGTCTCGACAGTCGTAAGCGTACGGTAGCGAGGGTTCTAACCTGATCGAATGATGAGACCTGAGGGACGTGGGCTGAAAGTGTAAGGCCGAATCACTGGATGGGAGAAAAAATACTTCACCGCGGTGTCTCTTTCACGGAATGACGGGCTAAGAGCGTGGAACATCCTTGTGAACAAGTGTCCCCTCGGCTCTCTGGTCGAACATTTGTCTCGTCAATGGTTTTCGTCAGGTAACACGCAAAACCCCATATTCCAAGTTGGAAACACTTGGTCGCCCAGAAATACATCGGAACCTATACCTATGTGTCAATCCAGATTCCATCCATTCCCTTGAGGTTTGAATGACATCGCTGGGGCAATTTTTGCGATGCCTGTGATTGGCGTATTGCAATACACACTTAGGGTGTGTCAGATCCGTTGTCGGAAAAATCCGGCCGGCCGGAATTAGCGAAGGTTGTCAGAACATATAGCTTACTTATTTGTGTAGGCTATAGTGGGGTATCCCATAGGGGGTACAACCCAATTAGGGTTTCCTATTTGTACTCACTTCGTTCATACTCATTTCATTCTCGTTCAATTCCTCTCATGGAATCAGAGCAGGTCCCCTCCTAGGGACTGTTCCTAGGGCCCACCGAAGTGCGCCCCGAGGCGCGCGTTCTTTTTTTAGCGACCCTGCGTGTCGCCCCTACCGTCGCGCTCCCGCCGCTCCCTCCTCTTACGGCCGCCCGCCCTAGTGCCCTGACGGCCGCCCGCTCTAGCGCCCGAGCGCCGCCCGCCCTAGCGCCCGAGCGCCGCCCGCCCTAGCGCCCGAGCGCCGCCCGCCCTAGCGCCCGAGCGCCGCCCGCCCTAGAGCCCTGACGGCCGCCCGCCCTAGCGCCCGAGCGCCGCTCGCCCTAGCGCCCTGACGGCCGCCCGCCCTAGCGCCCGTGCGCCACTCGCCCTAGCGCCCTGACGGCCGCCCGCCCTAGCGCCCGAACGCAGCCCGCCCTAGCGCCCTGACGGCCGCCCGCCCTAGCGCCCTGACGGCCGGCCGCCCGCCCTAGCGCCCGACCGCCCTTTCGCCCTTACGGCCGCCCGCCCGAACGCCTGAGCGCCGCCCGTCGTCGCCCCAACGCCCTAGCGCCCGACGCCCGCGAGCCGCCCGTCGCAGCCGCCCGTGAGCTCCCTGAGCCGCCCGCGCCGCCGTCCCTGAGCCGCCTGTGCAGCCGCCCGAGCCGCCCGAGCCGCCCGAGCCGCCCGAGCCGCCCGAGCCGCCCGAGCCGCCCGAGCCGCCCGAGCCGCCCGAGCCGCCCGCGCCGCCCCAGCAACCCGAGCCGCCCGAGCCGCCCGAGCCGCCCGAGCCGCCCGAGCCGCCCGCGCCGCCCCAGCAACCCGAGCCGCCCGAGCCGTGCCGCTGTTCCTGAGCTGTGTTCCTCTGCTGCTGACCTACCCGACTCTCCCAGCCCGGTGAGACTTTCAGCTGCTGCCATGGCCACCCCCAATGTTCTTACTTTTGACGCTGAGGGGAGGGCCATTGACTTTGCCGTCTGGATTGAAGACCTGCAGCTGTACTTACTGTGTGATGCGATAGATGAGGTCTCTCTCTTTGACTTTGTCTCTGGCGCTGTCCCTGCCCCACCTGCTGATGCTGACTCTGCCGTTCGCTCCAAGTGGGCGACCCGCGACGCTGTTGCACGTCTTGCTGTGCGTCGCCACCTCCCTTCCTCTGAGCGTGCCCACTTTAGTCAGTGCAAGACCGCTCAGGCCTTGTACGACGCTGTAGTTGCACGCTACTCCTCCCCTTCCTCCGCTACCCTTAGCCGCCTCATGCTACCGTTTCTCTTCCCTGACCTCGCCTCCTTTCCCACTGTTGCTGACCTCGTTACCCACCTCCGTGCTAGTGACACCCGCTACCGCGCTGCCCTTCCTGCTGAGTTCCGCGCTGCGAACCCTCCTCCCATGTGCATCACTCTCTACTTTCTCGTCACCCGTCTCCCTGAGTCCCTTCGTGTCGTTAGGGACCAGTTTCTCTCTGTCTGTCCCACCACTCTCACTGTCGACCTCCTTGAGGAGTCCCTGCTAGCGGCTGAGAAGAGTATTGTCGCTGTAGGGGCCTCTCGGGGTGACCCTCGCACCCCCATCTTTGAGGGGTGTGGTCCTTCCCCCCTGCTGCCCTCTGTCGCCTCTGCCGCTGCGGCCGACCTCACTGGTTTTGAGTCGGTCGGCGCGGCGTCTGCCCCCAGCGGCAGACGCCGCTCTGGCAAGGGCAAGGGGGGCAAGGGAGCGGGTGGAGCTAGAGGGGGCGGTGGAGGAGGCGGTGGGGGTGGCGGGGGGAGTGGGGGTGGCGGTGGGGGTGGTGGCGGGAGTGGAGGTACTGGTGGCGGCGGTGGAGGCGGAAGTGGCGGCGGCGGTGGTAGCGGAGGAGGCGGTGGGAGCGGTGGGAGCGACGGTCCTGGTGGGGGAGGTGGCGGTGGAGACGGGGGTGGCGGTGGAGGCGGGGGTGGCGGTGGAGGCGGGGGTCGGAGTGGCTCGTCCCAGCGGAGCAGCTCGGGGGGTGGTCAGCGCCAGCAGCAGCAGCAGCAGCAGCCGCAGCAGCAGCCACAGCAGCAGCAGCGCTCTCGCACCGTCCCCGCCCCTCAGCAGCTCCGTGAGTGGTACTTGCAGCGTCAGCGTGGTGGTGCGCTTGGTCCCTGCCCCTACGTTCTTCGCACCGGTGACCGTGCAGGGGAGAGGTGTGGAGGCGCCCACACAGCCCGCCGCTGCTTTGGCCGCCTGACCGACGCCTGGCGTCAGCAGTTTCCGGAGGCCGCTGAGATCCCCCGCTGGGGAGAGCTGTCTAGGGCTGGTGTAGCTATTTATGATCTTGATTTTGATGCTATTCTCGCTGCTATGTATGCTGTGACTGGTAGTGATGAGGATGACTGTTACCGGTGTTTCCCGCCCGACCCGGGCATTGGTACTGCCGCGTCAGGTACTAGTAAGGCTGCTGCTCTAGGTGCCAGTGCGTCTGTGCTCTCAGGTGCTGGTGAGTCTGCCCTCTCAGGTACTGTGTCGGCTTCGGCCTCTCACACCTTCACCCTTGATTCTGGAGCGTCTCGCTCCTTCTTTAGGGACCGCACCACTCTCACGCCGCTGAGTCGGCCGGTTGCGGTGTCCCTGGCTGACCCCTCTGGGGGGCCTGTCCTGTCTCGCTTCTCCACTGTCCTCCCGTGTCCGGCGGCCCCCTCTGGCACCCTGACTGGTCTCTACCTCCCCTCGTTCTCGACGAACTTGGTGAGTGGTGCTGACCTCCAGGATGCGGGTGTCCACCAGTTCACCCCTGCTCGTCAGCGGGTGACTCACTGCACGGAGGCGGATACAGGTCGCCACCTGGCTACGTTTACACGTCGGCCAGGGTCGAGCCTGTACACACTGACCACTGCTTCTCCTCCAGGTGCTGAGTCTGGTAGGGTCCCTTCGTCTGGTCAGGTGTTTGCTGCAGCGTCCAGGTCTGGTCCTGAGTCTGCCCCCTGCTCGTGTCGTCGTCTGTCTCACGAGACCCTCCTCTGGCACCACCGCCTTGGCCACCCCTCTCTACTTCGGCTCAGAGGCATGGCCTCGCGAGTCCTTGTGTCTGGTCTTCCCCGGTCTCTCCCTCCCCTTCCTCCGGGCCCTGGCCCTACCTGTGTCCCCTGTGTCGAGGGGCGCCAGCGTGCTGCCCCTCACTCCTCCCAGTTTCCTCCGACAGAGGCCCCGTTGCAGACGCTTCACATGGACGTGTGGGGCCCAGCCCGCGTCCGTGGACAGGGTCAGGAGCGCTACTTCCTGCTGGTGGTTGACGACTACTCGCGTTACACCACAGTCTTCCCCTTGCGCAGCAAGGGTGAGGTCACTGAGGTGTTGATCGACTGCATCCGCGCAGCTCGTCTCCAGCTTCGGAGGAGCTTTGCCTCTGACTTCCCTGTTTTGCGTCTGCACTCGGACAGAGGCGGAGAGTTCTCCTCTGGCCTCCTGAGTGCCTACTGTCGTGCGCGAGGCATCCGTCAGACCTTCACGCTTCCGGACTCACCACAGCAAAATGGGATTGCTGAGCGCCGCATTGGCATGGTCATGGACGTCGCTCGTACGTCCATGATGCATGCGGCTGCTCCCCATTTTCTGTGGCCGTTTGCGGTCAGGTACGCTGCGCACCAGATCAACCTCCACCCCAGGGTCTCTCGAGCGGAGACCTCCCCAGCCCTGCTGTGGACCGGGAAGGTTGGCGATGCGTCGGCGTTCCGGGTTTGGGGATCTCGGGCGTTTGTTCGCGACCTGTCTGCGGACAAGCTGTCCTCTCGTGCTTCTCCCTGCGTCTTCCTGGGGTTCCCCCCCGACGCCCCTGGGTGGCAGTTTTACCACCCCACCTCTCGACGTGTTCTGTCCTCCCAGGACGTCACGTTCGACGAGTCGGTACCCTACTACCGCCTCTTCCCCTACCGCACTCCGTCCCTCCCCCCACCCCCGCTCTTCTTGGTACCAGGTCCCCCCCCGGTAGTCCCCCTCCCCCCTCAGGGTCCTGCCCCTTCAGGTGTGTCCCAGGTAGACGCGGTCGAGCCTGTCCAGGTCACTGGTGACTCTGGTGCTGCTGCGGGAGCTGAGCCTGGGGGTGCGGAGTCTGGGGGTGCTGAGCCTGGGGGTGCTGTGCCTAGGGGTGCTGTGCCTGGGGGTGCTGAGCCTGGAGGTGCCGAGCCTGGGGGTGCTGTGCCTGGGGGTGCCGAGCCTGGGGGTGCTGTGCCTGGGGGTGCTGTGCCTAGGGGTGCTGAGCCTGAGGGTGCTGAGCCTGGGGGTGCTGTGCCTGGGGGTGCTTCGTCTCGCCGGGAGCCACTCTCCCCACAGGAGCTGCGTGAGTGGTTTGCCAGGCGCTGGAGGCGTGCTGCTGGTGCGGGTGGTTCTTCGGCTGCAGAGGGTACTGCTGCCGCGCGTCCCGCCGGTGCTCGTACTGTGGGTGCTGGAGCTGCTGGGTCTGAGAGTTCTCCTGGAGCTGGTACTGCTGAGGGTGTTGGAGCTGAGCCTGCCGTTGGCGGTCCGACTGACAGTGCTCCTGGTGCTGCTGCTGGAGGTTCTGGTGCTGCTGGAGGTGCTGCTGGAGTGGGTGCTCCTGCCGGGGCTGCTGGTGCTGTTCCTGCTGTTTCTAGCGTCGCCGCGCGGCCCCGACCGTACTTCGTTCC